CCACCAGAATCCACCAAAATGTGTTTACTATGAAACAGAAATGCCTTATTGGAGCTGAGACACATAGGAAATCTAGAGGGTTCATTAGCAATTTCACATGACCTAGTAGAGCACCTGCATGGAGAAAACCTGACTTGCACTCTCAGTCCTTTGAAGAGCAGAGCGCTGGAATGGGAGTTAGGACTTGCCTCACCTGTAGCTGTACACTGGTGTAACAACCCTCCACCCGGCTTGTGTGGTGAGATGAGGTCTTAATAACTGTTGTTCAAGCTGTCTTCAAACCACAGTCCTCCTGCCTCCACCTCCTGGATAGCTGGGATTACAGGCATGAACAACCATGCCTGGCTGATAAATTTATCACATTTTTTTTTTTGGGTCCGGTCATGGGGCCCGCACTATGGCCTGGGCGCTGTCCCTCAGCTCTTCAGCTCAAGGCTAGCACTCTACCACTTGAGCCACAGCGCCACTTCTGGCTTTTTTTTCTTTTTGCATATGTGGTGCTGAGGAATCGTACCCAGGGCCTCATGCATGCAAGGCAAGCACTCTACCACTGAGCCACCTTCCCAGCCCAAATTTATCATATTTATAATTAGCAAATAACTATCAGACACTAATACAAGAAAAAGATAAAAGAGGGGCTGGGAAGGTGGCTCAGTGGTAGAGCGCTCGCCTTGCACGCATGAGGCCCTGGGTTCGATTCCTCAGCACCACATAAGCAAAAAGAAAAAAGCCGGAAGTGGCGCTTTGGCTCTAGTGGTAGAGCGCTAGCCTTGAGCTGAAGAGCTGAGGGACAGCGCCCAGGCCATAGTTCAGGCCCCATGACTGGACCAAAAAAAAAAAAAAAGAAAGGAAGAACAAAAGGCCTATAGGGCTCTCTTTTCCTTCCTTATATAGTAAAAGTACAGTAATGAGAATTATGACATTGACACAAGAGCAGACAAATAGCAACGAATGGATGAGAATACGGAACCACAGGCCATGGCAGGCCTGGGCTGGAGTTTACCATGTGATAACTCAGACGCCATTGCTGGAGGAGAATGGTAACACTGGATTCTTACAGAGCAGCACTTGGCAGAGTGACCTCTAGGGGGATAAATGTTGAAGGTATGCAGACAAGCTTAAAGGTAAAATTGCCCAGACCATAGCCTGGAGGGGGGAGGGGGGGGACCCGGCTCAGGGCTGTAATCCTAGCTACTCAGGAGGCCGAGATCTGAGGATCAGAGTTCAAAGCCAGCCCAGAAAGGAAATTCTCTGAGACTCTTACCTCCGATTAACCCACCAGAAAACTGGAAGTGGCACCCTGGCTCAAAGTAGTACAGCACTAGCCTTGAGCAGAAGAGCTCATGGATGGTGACCAGGCTCTGAATTCAAGCCCCACAACTGACAAAAAAATTAAAAAGATCGTCCAGCTCAGTGTCTCAAGCCTATTACCCTAGATACATGGGAGGTGAAGATGGGGGATGGAAGTTCAAGGTTCAAGGCCAGTCCCCAGCAAGAAGCTGGAGAAAGCCCCTCTTAGTGAATGGCTGGGCATGACAGCGTGTGCGCATGATCTCAGCGATGTGGGAAGCTCAGTGGCTGGGTACAGTGGTGCCGCCTGTCAGCCCCAGACATTCAAGAAGCACAAATAGGAGGACTGCAGCCCAGGCAGACCCTGGCGTAGAGTGAAATCTTACTTGGAAGAAAATCAGCACAAAGGGGGGTGGGGTGGGGGTTAAGGCATAGCTCCAGTGGTTGAGGGCCTACCTAGCAAGTGTGAGCCTTGAGTCTAATCCTCAGTAAACTCCTCAAAAAAAAAGGACACAATATCAGGTGCCCCTCCAAAAAGAAAAAAAAAAAAAAGGACAAAATTGGCTTGGAGCACACCTGCAATCCTAGCTACTCAGGAGGTTGAGCTCTGAGGATCATGGTTTGAAGCCAGCCCTGGAAGGAAAGTCTGTGAGAGTCTTATCTCCCACTAACCATCAAAATTCAGAAGTGGAGCTGCAGCTCAGGTAAGTGATAGAATACTGGCCTTGGGTGAACAGCTCATTGACAGTGCCCAGGCTGCTGTGGCTTTGTGCAGGGAGGCAGGGCGTGCAGGCTGGCGGTGTGTGGTGGGTGGAGCCCTTCAGAAAGGCCGCCTGGGTTGGGTCTGCTCGCAGCACAGCGGCTGGAGCTCCTGCAGGTGCAGGCAGTGAGAGTGGACTGTGGATGGGAGGAACTCAGGCTTTGCAGGCAAAAGTGGGCCCAGCCCAGCGATGATAATGAACTACAATGTTTATGGCACCCTACCCGCACACACCTGCAGTCCAGGGCACACCCCAGGCAGAGTAGAACATCAATGACCCAGGGAAATACTTTACAGGCAGCTGAGCACAAGAACAGAGGTGGGACTGGAAAGTTCCAAGTGCACTTGGGGAAGTGGTGTTGGGCTGCAGGTAGCAAGGGTAAAGGGGGAGGGTAGAACCAGCCAAGCCACACACCACACAGGTCTTGGGCTTGAACAGCACCAATCTATCCAGCAGGACCAGGGGAGAAAAAGGCCAGGGAAGAAGGAAGCCTGCAGAGGGGCTGAGGCAAAGGTTTTTGTTGTTTTGTTTTGATGTGTGTGTGTGTGTGTGTGTGTGTGTGTGTGTGCAAACACAGGGCCTGGGCACTGACCCTTAGCTTCTTCACTCACGGGTGATGAACTAACACTTGAACCAAGGTGCCACTTCTGGCTTTTTGCTGGCTAATTGGAGATAAGACTCTCACAGATTTTTCCTGCCCAGACAGACTTTGAACCTCTATCCTCAGATCTCAGTCTCCAGAGTAGATAGAATTAGAGGCCTGAGCCAGCTAGCAACTTAAGGGAGATAGATAGATTGGTAGGTAGATAGGTAAGTAGATAGATAGATGGATAGATGGATAGATAGATGGATAGATAGATAAATAAATCGATAAATAGCTAGATCTAGATCTGCAACAATAGCTGAGCACTGGTGGTTCAAACCAGTTAATCCTAGCTACTCAGGAGGCTGAGATCTGAGAATCACACAGTTCAAAGCCAGACTGAGCAAGAAAGTCCGTGAGACTTAGATCTCCAATAAACTACTCAGAAAAAGCCAGAAGTGAGTGGCACTGTGGCTAAAGTGGTAGAGCGCTAGCCTTGTGCATAAAGAAGCTCAGGGACAGAGTCCAGCCCTTGAGTTCAATCCCCAGGGCTACATTGTTTCTTGCTTTATTTTCCTTGACTTTTTTGGTAGCTCCTTGGATAACTGGCATTGAGGACTTGGGAAGGACAGATTTCAGATTGCTTACAAGTGAAGATCAAATCCAACTCAGCTCTGGGGCAGAGAGGAGAGAGGTGTGTTAAGACAGGAGAGGGAGCTGGGCGCCGGTGGCTCACGCCTGTAACCCTAGCTACTCAGGAGGCTGAGATCTGAGGATCGTGGTTCAAAGCCAGCCCAGGCAGGAAAGTCTGTGAGACTCCTATCTCCAATAAACCACTAGAAAACTGGAAGTGGCACTATGGCTAAGAGGTGGAGCACTCGCCTTGAGCTGAAGAGCGCAGGGACAGCGCCCAGGCCCGGAGTTCAAGCCCCACGACCGGAGAGGGTAGTCAAAACCCTCTGGTGAATGGGTTCGTGAATGGGCATGGCAATTAGGGGGTCCAGACCCCCCAGCTGGCCCAGCCCTCCCTGAGCAGAACCTTTCAGTCCCCAGACATGCCTGCCTGTCTGTCCCTGCTGGTACCACCTCTGGCTGGCAAGTGCCAGTTCCCGCCCCCTCCCCCCAACCCCGCTTTCTCCATAGAGAAGCAGTTCTCTGCAGTTGGCTGTGGTCCCAGATGTAGACCCAAGCCTCTGTGCCAGCTCTTTGAAGCTCCGAACGACCTTGTTCACAGGGCTCAGCGTCTCCTGCTCCTGCCCCACCGCCCAACATGCCAGAACGTGGCCACCTGCCTCCGGGATGACTGTCCAGTCCACTCATCCCTTGTGTGTGTGTGTGTGTGTGTGTGTGTGTGTGATGCCAGGATTTGAATTCATGACCTTGTGCTTTGAAGCAGGTGCTGTTTTTGCCTTTTGTTGATGGCACCCCCAGTTAACCAGGATGAGGGAATCAACCACCTTAACCCCCCCTTCCCTTTTTTTTCCGGAGCCACTACCTGGGCTGAGGGCCTGGGGTGTCCCTTAGCTTTTTCCACCCAGGGGTGGTGCTCTACCACTCGGGCTGAACCCTCACTTCTGGCTTTTTGGTGGTCAGCTGGAGAGAAGCGTTGCCTGACTTCCCTGTCAGGCCTGGAACCCGGGAGCTGAGATCCTCAAGTTGGCCGCGACGGGGTGTGGGGGCCCTGGGAGTGGGGAGGAGGAGCCGAGGGGATGGAGGGGAAGGGGGGAGGAGCCGAGGGGGGGAGGGGGAGGGGGAGGAGCAGCAGGGGGTGGAGGGGGAGGGGGGAGGAGCAGCAGGGGGGGAGGGGGAGGGGGAGGAGCGGGAGGGGGAGGGGGGAGGAGCAGCAGGGGGTGGAGGGGAAGGGGGGAGGAGCCGAGGGGGGGAGGGGGAGGGGGGAGGAGCAGCAGAGGGGGTGGAGGGGGAGGGGGGAGGAGCAGGGGGGGTGGAGGGGGAGGAGGACCGGGGGGGGGGGGGTGGATGCGGGCAGCCAGGGTTCCAGCTCTCAGGAGGCCCGGTTGGGGGAGGGGAGAGGAGGAGGGACGGGAGGGGAGCCTGGCGAGACTCGCTGGGCGTCTCTGCACATGATAACTGCGTTCGGTTATGCGTGAACAGACATTAAGTACACACGAGCCCCCCACAACTGAGCGATGCTGAGTCCTTAAATGTGGGGGGCGGGAGAGTGGAGGAAGGGGCTCCCCCTGCCCCACGCTCAGCGGGGCTTTCCCTCCGCCTCCAGGGCCCGGGACGGACGTGCAGCCGGACCTCCAGGACGCACAGACTCCAGCCCGTCCCGCCCCCGCCCCGCGGGGCGGAGCAGCCGCCCAGCCCGTGACCGGCCCGGGGCGGAGCGGGCGGCGCCCCTTATGTAAGGCGGGGCGCTGGGTGTGCGCCCAGCTCCGCCATTGACGCCTCCAGCTGCGCAGCTCCACGGTCACCAGTGAGTCTGCCCCGCCCGGGGACCCCGCGCCGGGGTCGGCTCCGCCCGCGCCCCGCGCCCCGGGCCCCAGTGCGCCCCGGATGCGGAGCTGGGTGCTGGGGTGGGGGCGGCCGAGACCCAGATGGGGCCGACCCCCGGTGGGGAGGGCGGGGACGGCGCCCTGTCCTTTGCTCAGGGTCTAACAGCTTCCTTCCGTCCCCAGTGCCGCCCTACACCATCGTCTACTTCCCGGTCCGAGGTAGGAGAGGGCGGGTGTGTTGGCGGCGCTGCGGTCCACGCTTCCCTCCCCTGCGCCCCGCAGCTGTGGGTCTCCGGCCTCCCCCCTGCTCCTCCGCCAGCCCCCCCCCCCCCACTGCCCCGGGAATCGCGGGGCGTCTCCGGGCCCGGTCCCTCCCTGGGCCCCTGCCTCGTCCCCACCTCTGTGTCTTCTCCCTTGCTCCCGCCAGGGCGCTGCGAGGCCATGCGCATGCTGCTGGCTGACCAGGGCCAGAGCTGGAAGGAGGAGGTGGTAACCGTGGAGATCTGGCAGAAAGGCTCCCTCAAGGCCTCCTGTGTGAGTGACCCCCGCCTTGGAGGGTGGGGGCTGGCCAGGGGCAGTCGGGCCCAGGCTCCCTCACAAAGCCTTACCCCTCCTCCCCACCAGCTCTACGGACAGCTCCCCAAGTTCCAGGACGGGGACCTCACCCTGTACCAGTCCAATGCCATCCTGCGGCACCTGGCCCGCACCTTTGGTGAGTCCTGAGCTTCCACCGGCCAACTCAGGGCAGAGGGGCATCTGCCAGTGACCGGGCATGTCTGCACGAGTCCCAGTGGAGTGGATGGAGCAGAGACTCTCCTTATCCAAGGTGCCACCAAGTCCTCCTGCCCTGTGCCAGGCTCCCATCTCGCTGGTTGCATGCCGGGCTCACTGGCCGGGCCAGTCCTTCCTCCCTTCCTCCTGGCCGCAGCAGCCACCGGCCCCTGGGCCAGCAGTGGGCAGGGGTTTGTGCACACTGAGGGCTCAGCCATGCCCAATTCCCCCCCCCCCCCCCCCCAGGACTGTATGGGAAGAACCAGGAGGAGGCAGCTCTGGTGGACGTGGTAAATGACGGTGTGGAGGACCTCCGCTGCAAATACGCAACTTTCATCTACACCAACTATGTGAGCCTGGGCACCACGCGGGCACTGAGCGAACAAAGGGGCTCTTACACTCTGTGTGCTCTGAATGAGAGTGCCAGAACTGGGTCACATGTCATCATGGATGAGAGCTGCCCCCCCCCCCACTCTTCCCCACCAGTCAAGTGACAGTACAAGTACAGATGTCTAGTGAAAGATGGTTCCTATCTAGGTGTTGGTGGCTCACGCCTGTCATCCTAGCAACTCAGGAGGCTGAGCTCTGAGAATCACAGCTCAAAAAGCCCAGGCAGGAAAGTAGCATGAAGACTCTTATCTCAAATGAACCATCAAAGCCTTGGCAGCAGAGCTGTGGCTGAAGTGGTAGAGCATAAAAAGCCTTGAGCAAAAAAGCTCAGGGACAGTGCCCAGGCCCAGAAATCAAGGCCAGTGCTGGCACATGCTTTCCTGATGGCCTTGGGTGGATGTGGGCATCCTAGAGCCACCTGAGGAGGAGGCTCTATGGAAGGAAGTTTCTGGAAGGAGGTGCTGGCACTCTCTGATGGGGAAGATGCTTGTGTGTCTGGGGCCAGAGTGTATGCATGAACATGGGGGGCAGCAGGTGGGGGCTGAAGGCCTTGAACTTGAGTTTTGGACTCAGAGAAATGGGAACCATTGAGAGGTCTCTGCTAGGCTGTGTTTGCATGTGAGTTCTAGAAGGATCCTCAGAGCTGCCCACTTTGAGGGGCTTGTGAGGATGAGATGGTAAGAGATGGTAGCTGGCCTGGGCACCGATGGCGCATGCCTATAATCCTAGCTGCTCAGAAGGTTGGGATCTGCGGATTGTGATCTGATGCCAGCCAGAAAGACAATCGGAGAGATTCCCATGTCCAGTTAATCACCGAAAAGTGGAGGTGTGGCTCAAATGGTGGAGTGCCAGCCTTGAGCTAAGAGGCCAAGCAAGAGCATGAGATGATCCCTGAGTTCAAGCTCAAGTACTGGCACACACACACATACAATGAAAGAAAGCAAGAGAAAGAAGGAAGGAAGGAAGGAAAGAAAGAGAGGGGCGAAAGGGTAGAATGGAGAGGAGAGCAGTGGGGGGCAGTAGGGGGTAGGGTTCGGCTTCTGGCCAGGGCCGTGAGGATGGGAAGAAGATACAGCTGTGGCACTTTTCTGGCAGGAGGCGGGCAAGAATGACTACGTGAAGGCTCTGCCCACCCACCTGAAGCCTTTTGAGACCCTGCTGTCCCAGAACCAGGGAGGCCAGGCCTTCATCGTGGGTGACCAGGTGAGCACCCTTCCTCACCCACCTTCTTATGGATGGGAACAGGCTGGAGCCATTCAGGCAGCAAAGTGGGACGGACCTACGGGCTAGCCGGCCCTCCACCTCCGGTCCACTCCCACCTGCTGAGGCCTGGCCCACCGTTCCCCCCTGCAGATCTCCTTCGCTGACTACAACTTGTTGGACTTGCTGCTGATTCACCAAGTCCTGGATCCCAGCTGCCTGGAGAACTTCCCCCTGCTCGCAGGCTACACGAAGCGCCTGGTAGCTCGGCCCAAAATCAAGGCCTTCCTGGACTCCCCTGAACATGTGAAGCGTCCCATCAATGGCAACGGCAAGCAGTGAGGGGAGGGGCCTGCCAAACGTTCCCCAGGACCAATAACATTCTCCAAGTTTGAAGCTGTGCTGTGTTTTTTTTCCTGGGGAGGGGGCTCTGGGACCCTCGCCTGGCAGGCTGGGAAAGGGGCAGCGCAGAGGCTTGGGAACCAGCATTGAAGGACAATCGCAGTGTCTACCTGGAGCCTGTTTAGAGAACTAGAAACAGGAATAGGAAAGAAGGAGGAGACGCCATTGTAGTGGGGGAACTCCTAAGTCATCTAGATGCCTTTTCTAGCACCTGCCAGGATGATGGCTTTGGGCAACCAGGACCCCAAAGAGCTGTGTCAGGAGCTCCCTCGCTTGGGCTTTAGTGGAGTGCTGACCGCAGGCTGGCTGGGGGAGGATTACCCTCCCATCCCACAGGGGCCTCCTGGCTGCCTCATAAATTTGGTGCATCCTAGACATACAGCCTACCATGGTGTACGCTGTGTTTCACCAAGACACAGAACCAAGGCTGGGTGCTGGTGGCTCACACCTGTAATCCCAACTACTCAAGGTTCAAGGCCAGCCTGGGCAGGAAAGTCTGTGAGATTTACCTTCAATCAACCACCAGGAAGTGGGAAGTGGCATTGTGGCTAAAGTGCTAATCTTGGATAAAGAAGTGTCTAGATAAAGGGTAGATCAAGAAGGTTTGTATATTTTTTCCCTTTACTTCATTATCCTGTCCTTGGTGGCAACGATTTTTTTCTTAAAACTTTGTGTTTTTTATTGCTTTTTTTTTGGTCATGGGGCTTGAACTCTGGGCCTGGGCGCTGTCCCTCAGCTCTTCAGCTCAAGGCTAGTGCTCTACCTCCAGTTTTCTGAGTCATTTATTGGAGATAAGAGTCTCATGGACTTTCGTGCCTGTCCTGACTTTGAACTTCAATCCTCAGATCTCAGCCTCCTGAGTAGCTAGGATTACAGGCGTGACCCACAGTGCCTGGCTAAGAAGAAAGACTGGGGGTCCTCTCACACCTGTTGTTTTCAAGTGCCTTAACCCCAAACAGCCAAAAGCCAGCATATTTTGAGATGGCACCTTAATTTCCCCAACTCATGTAGTTGTTAGCCAGCCAGCCAGTGTCTCAGACATGAAATCTCTGCTAGTTAAGAGGCTGAAATCAAGAGGCTTCCAGTGTGAGGCCAACCCAGCGGGCACGTTCATGAGACTCCATCTCAAAGGAAGAACCTGGGCATGCACCTATCACCTCAGCTAAAGAGGAAAGCATATAATAGAAGCATAAAATAGGAAAATCGCAGTCCAGATATACACATGGGCAAAAAAAGTCTGACCCTATATCAAAATAACTCATGCAAAAGATGGCTGGAAGCATGGCTCCAGTGGTAGAGTACCTGTCTAGCAAGGGGGCGGCCCTGAATTCAAACCCTGGTACCACCACATTCCATAATAAATAAATCTCATGTGAGATTGGGGGTGTGGCTCATCGGTAGAGCATTCAAGTTGCATGTTAAAGTTCCTGGGTTCTGGCTCCAGTACTTGGGGGGGGGAGGGGAAGGTTTCACTTGAAACTATGGCATAGCCAGTTACTATGTTTCACTGTACCTGCTGAGCTGCTACAATGTAGCCCTCAGGCTGGGTTGTACCTGGGAGCTTCCAGGCTGTGTCCACAGCTGCCCTGCTGCCCTGCAGGGACCAGTGGGGCTAGCCTGTCCACCACTAGCAGCAGCTGGGTTCTCCATGTCACAATGACCAAGATCATGGGGAGATGTTCTTAGATTATCTGCTATTTTGTACAACACTGCTGTATCTCACGAACTTGTAAGGGGGCTGGCACAGCAGGGAGAATTGCTACCAAAAAAAAAAAAAGACAAAGACAAAAATCATGTGAGTCGAGGCCCTGGCCTGGGGTGGCTCTTGCTTTGTATTCCTACTGGACAAGCGTTATAAAGCCTAATATGTCCAGGGAAACTGGAAATGGTACCAAAGAAGCCAGCCTGGGCAGGAAAGTTCATGAGACTCTTTATTTCCAATTAAACACCAAAAAGCTGGAAGTGGAGGTGTTTTTGAAGTGCTAGAGTGCTGGCCTTGAGTGAAAAGCTGAGGGACAGCAGTGTCCATGCTCTTACTTCAAGCCCCAGGATGTAGACACACACACACACACACACACACACACACACACACACACACGAAGACTTCACCGCTGCAGGTGGGAAGAATGGCGATTGTGTGACAGTGTCTCAGGTCTCTCAGAAAACTCGAGGTGCCTCTACCCTCAGAGCCAATTCTCTGCACCAGGTTGGACATCCAGACTGAGGGCTTGCCAGCTCTAGGACGATGAGACAGGCCCCTCTGGCCCCTCTTACCAGGATAAACTCCCTGGAGGGTTGTCACAGTTGGACAGAGAATGTACTGCTTCTCCTTTTGCGCCTGGCCCGTTCTGCTGACAGGCCGACTGGCTTGTCTGATGCTGGGCACCCCAGCTGGCAGAGACCAGACAGAATATTCTTGATGATCACAAAGCTAAGGTCTCAGGATGGGGAACAAGACCAATAACAACAACAAAAAGAAAAGTCACCTCGACTGATTTGATTGAGAGCCTAAGCAAAGCTTGTGTATGCAGAGGAAGACCAGGTGAGGAACGGGGCCGCCCCTGTCTGTGCCGTTTCCGGTTACACTCAGCTCTGTGCTGGTTCCTCCCCCATGATTCCCTGCATGGCCAGTGACATGGAAGACAGACAAGAAGGAAAACAAGGGGCCTCTGTGAGTCCTCGTGACCCAATCCAGCAGAGCTCCAAAGAGCCAGCTAGCTCTTCTACATGGGCTCCACCAATCTGAATTTAGAAAGGGAAGGAGACGGGAGAGAATCTTAATGTTCTTTGACTGGTCCCTGGAGCCAGAGCTCTGGCAGCCGGATGTGCTGTAAATCTGGCCTGGGGCGCCTCTGCTGGTTTTTGTTCGACGGCTCAGGATCTTTTAGCCACAAGATGAAACTGTCCCCAGCCAGGGAATCCCTGCTTGTCACCAGAAACTAAAGGAGGCAAAAATTCACCTTTACTTCATTGAAGATTTGGTCTTATTTTTGGTTGGGGTTGAGAATTAAATTGTCATAGTTGCTGTATGGTAGCATATGCCTGTAATCCTAGCTTCTCTAGAAGCAAAAGCAGGAGAATCACCTGGACAAAGTCAGTGAGACCTCATCTCAAATATAAATTAAAAACAAAAGGATTCAGGGTATGGGTTAAGTGGTAGATTGCTTACATAGCACGTGCAAGGTCCTGGATTCAATCCCCAGTAAAAACACAAACCCAAAAAGCAAAAAAAAAAAAGGAAAAAAGAGTGATGTCCCCCCCCGCCCCTGCAAATACCAGCTATCTTTCCAGTGTCTTAAAATCAAATGTGGCTGAGAATGTGGCTTAGTAGTAAAATGCTTGCCTAGCATCCATGAAGCCCCAGGTTTGATTCCACATAAACAGAAAATGCTGGAAGTGGCATTGTGGCTCAAGTGGTAGAGCACTAGCCCTGAGTAAAAGAAGCTCAGAGACAGTGCCCAGGTTCTGAGTTAAAGCCCCAGGACAGGCAAATACACACACACACACATACCCTCACACAAATAGGCAATGTGCCAGGGTGGCCTATTTAGGGGTGGTGTATTCTTAATCCCTTTACAATCACATAATACAGTTAAGAATGTGACTTAATAGTAGAGTGCTTGCCTAGCACGCATGAAGCCGTAGGTTCGATTCCTCAGCACCACATACACAGAAAAAGCCGGAAGGGGCGCTCAAGCTCAAGTGGTAGAGTCTAGCCTAGAACAAAAGAAGTTCAGGGACAGTGCCCAGGGCCTGAGTTCAAGCCCCAGGACTAGGAAAAAAATCACATAATACACACACTCAGACTTAGAATAGCATGTGGGCTCATGGCAGTATGGAAGCTAAGGAGTCTCACACTGTGCTATCTGCCAGCTAGAGACTCAGGAAGGCCGGGGGTGGAGCTTGAAACCTAGTGCCTCAGTGGATGTTGCAGATGCCAGGCTGGGCTGAAGGCCTGGAGCTCAGGGGCACCGATGATAGGCAGCAATACTCCAGAGCAGACAGCCAGGGTGAACCCAACCTCCACCTTTTTGTTCTATTCAGGCCCTCAATGGATTGTTCACCACCCTGGAAAGGCCCATCCGTGCTACCATCTCAAATGTTAGTCCTCACTGCTAATCCCAGGAATAATATTTAACCAGCTATCTGGGCATCCCATAGCTCAGCCAAGTTAACACATGAAATTTACTATCACAATAGATAATCCTGGGAACTCTCCAATGCTCCTCCCACCATCCAGTCTGCTAAAGGATAGAGAGAGGCAAAGAGAGAAAGCAGCCTGGTAACTGAGAGCTGGGCATCCACTGCCGTGGGAGGCATAGGGTGTGAGCAGATCTAGGCTGGAGGGGAACCTGAGGAAGGGGAACATGGGAGCTGGTATCGTCTGGAGGGACAGAGACACTTCTGAAGTAGAACGTTGCCCAAGCCAGTACCTGATAATCAGCCTGAAGAGAGACCGTTACGGGAGCCCATCCAGATGCCAACTCCTCTCCTTCTATTTCTAAGAGAATTCATCATAATAGGATGAAATCAAGGAGAGGACATTTGTGTCCTGGCTGAGACCTTCTGCCCAGGTACATTAGGCTGGGGAGCTGGGAATGCCTGCAGCTGGACTGACACCTAGAGACCCAGCTTTGGGGTCAAAGTACACTTGGCTAAGGCATCTAACTTGGAGTGAATGCCTGAACAGCTTGAGGAGCTGTTCAGCATAGAGTAGCCGAAAGCATGGCCCAAAAGCTGGGGAGAATGGGCCTGTGGCCACAGTAGACACTGCCAAAGGGAGGCCTTCGAGTTCAGGGAGTGATGGCTCAGGCCCATAATCCTAGCTACTCAGGAGGCTGAGATCCGAGGATCAAAGTTGAAAGCCAGCCCACGTAGAGTTTGATGCTAAATATTATATTGTTTTACTTCCTTCACCCACCCTACAAGGATGAGTGGCTGTTGTGGATCAGAGGCTGGTGTCCTGGGCTCCAGGCTGGAGCTTGCAGGCCTGA